CCCCAGGCATTTGGGTCCAGTTGAATGGAGTCCCTTTTGGGTTGCTATTATTATTGTGTTTAGCATTCATTTTACATTTTGTATTTCATATTTATATATTCTGAATGTTTAAATGTTATGTGTGGTTGTTTTGTGTGTGTGGGGGGGTATTGTTTGTTTTTCTGTTGTATGCCACCCAGAGTCACATTGTTTCAGGTGCGTGGCTTTATAAATTCAGCAAATCAATCAGTCAATCAATCAATCAATCAATCAGTTAATCAATCCGCTTTGGCTTGTTCTACCCAAAAACCTGGGTGATGGTGGGAGAGTGGTAATTTCTATCAGATATTCTGCAAGGTTGCACCATATCAAATTAAATCAAAACATGTTAGATGGATAAATAGTTTGATTTGGTATAAGGCAATCTGAGATTCCTATGAAAATTCAAGATTCAACTTTTTTTTTTTAATTGGACAGTTGCATTGAAATCTAAAGTTCATTTTGTTTTTGCTTTCTTCCACTTCTTACAAAAGTAATAGGTTTCCCCTAGTTATCTCCCAACTGTATCAAATGAAGACAATTAGTTCAGATATATAGATATGAGAGTGGTATACAGTATATGCTTTATTATTTTCTATGTATACAGTATATGCTTTTATTATTTTTATATGCTGTGTTCCTAGTCAGGATTTTGTGCCTCCTTAGTTAATACAAATTACTAAACTAGTTACATTGGTGTACAGAGAGGGGCATAATATTATGCTACAATTGTAATTGTTACTCATGGTATCAGCTGACAATTTCGAAGCTTTTCTTTCTTATTTGTATGTTATCAGTATATATTAATTCAACTGTCTTGTACATTCTATTTTGAATTATTCTGCTAGTTTTATGGGGGAAATTTTTCTGTTTAAAAAAAAATCCTTGGATGTCATATCCAAATTGACACTGAAATTAGTTGAAATGGCATGTCTGATGGATATTTCTGGGATTTTTTGTCACAGTTCTAAGAATATTCCAAACTCTTCTTGTTTAGAGAAAAGAATTCCAGACCGAGGTAGGCATATTTAATGGCAAAGGGAACAAATTCACTTATTTTGCTTAAGACACTACCTGTTTTCTTTTTAATAGGAGCAGGAAGCAAAATTTGTCAAACTTTTTAGTAGTGATGGGCACTCCAGCTTTAAGGCTGTGAATGTGCTGCTTTTGGGTCAGTTCCAGTGTGTCTATCCATTAATGAGACAATATTTACCAACAGGCTAATTTATTTTTCCCTTTTATATCCTACGGCTTCCTTAAATCTGCATTGGAAGACTGGTATGTGCAGATCAGAGAGCAGCAAATTACTGGTTACATGAACATAAGTGCTTTTCTGTAATATTGGATGAAGACCTGTTTTTCTGGTGGATCCAAATTTAAAATGTATTTATATTTTTATAGCATCATCAGTGCATGCAACAACCTACAGTATGTAACAATCAACACAGGTATAACAATAAAGAGAAAGGTTACTTACTTTTTGTCTGATTCAGTATTCTTTGTTGTATTTCAACCATCTTGTCATTGAAGCAGAATATAGATAGATCTCTATGATCAGTGATTCAATGTTCACTGATTATACTGAAATTTAAACAGGATATGCATAGAACATGAGACTTATGTACATACTCTTGATACTAGTAGATTTTTTTTCATTGTTTCTCACCCTTTCCAAGTACATGCTTTCACTGTAGATGTGGGTTGAGTATATTTTCATAGACAAAAAACTCTCTGTAAAGGGGTTTATTTGAAATTAAAATCTTACGTGCTTCTTCAGTATTGATTCTTTAAGGATATGAAACATGACTTGGCCACCTGCTACATTGTTATAAAACAGGATAGGTGCTCTTTCTTGGCCCTTTAGGGAAGAGATGCCATCCATGCAAAACTAATTTTATGAGTATGTACATATTCATAAGTGTGTCCCACACTAAATATTGCTCAAATGAAAATTTAGTTTTTATAAATAATATGTTTAGCTAATTAATTTAACCATCATCATTGATCTAGTTTGGATAGGGTTCCTTTCCTCTCAAAATACTGTGGAAGCAAATGTTTGGGTTTTGTTACTGTACTTATTTATGAATTTGAAAATGTTTTTCCTCATTTCTTTTCAGTGTTACTTAATTCAAATGAATAATGTACCCAGTTTGAAAGGCAGCAGAAGACATCAGAAGAATGAAGTTCAAAATGATATACTGTATATTTTGTAGGGGGAAAAAAAAACATTGCATGTCTGGGACAATTTACATAGGTTGTCGTTTTTATAATTGTTGTTGCATTCTCTCCAAGTGTAGAGCCATGCCTGTGATTTCTCACTATATCAATCATTTATAGCCATTTAGATAATAATGTTCTGACATGCCTCTCTACCGTCTTATTTTATGCCATTTGCCCAGTTCCTTGGAATGCTGTACCTTTTGCTGTTTGGGAACAGTAAATGCACTCTGTAATATCTATTATGGCATGGTCAAAGGATAATTTATTGTCAAATAGAAAAAATAGGTCAACACTAATGTCACTTGATGATCAACCCCCCTCCCCCCCAAGTTTAATAAAACATCTCGCCAGCATGCATCCTGCACAGTGGTTGATATTTTATTACAACTGCAGTACCTGGGCTGTAGCAGTGGTGTAATTACCGAGCTGTCAGAGTGATAAGTGGGATTAATGGCAGACTGATGCACTTTAGTCTGCAGAGTGCTCTGAGAATTGGAAGATGGTGTTGTTATAAGAGTCTGTCTATACTGGCATATTCGCAGTGCTTCCAGCCCCCTCCCTCCCCAGCCAATGCCACAAATTCAAGTTTGCATTGCCCTGCCTCATTAACATTTGACATTTTCAACAGCTGTTATTTGTGAGCCAGGTCCATAATAATAATAAAAAAAATATGGAGATATATAGTGTTTGGTGAAAGATGCATAATTACGCCATTATACACGTGCCATAGTGCTAAAATGGCTTCCTGGTCAATCTTTATTTGATCTCATTTTATTTTACTTTTACTGGTTGAATCTAACAGGCATTTGCTTTGAATGGTGATTTGTCTAGTAATGTCTTCCAAGCTGTCTGCTTTGAAATAGTTATAGTTTATTCATCTCCTCCTTCGTTAGAGGAGCAAAGAAAGCTTACACATTGTTTTCTCATAAATTTGAACTTTAAAGTTGAACTTACCTATATTTTATTCAAAACTAACTCTAACATTTAACCATATTCTTCTCTTGAGTATTGTACCTGTAGTTGATCAGTCATCACTCAGTTCAGTAAAGATTACAATATAGATTAAATACTCTCTGTGAAAAAAAGTTTACTTATTTTCACTGCTGACTTATTATTTGATAATCATACAGATGCTCTGCCTGTAGGAGATTGCAGACTTACCACTTAAGTGTGGTGTCTTAAGTGTGAGGGATCAATAGGAGATGATGCATTATAAAATAATATGCTGTTTCTTAGAAAATGCACATCAAGTATCCAGAGCAAAGATACATTAACTCTGGAATTCTTGGAGCAAGTAAAATAGAGCAGTTCTGTAGTTCCCATTTTCCAGATCAGTAGCTAAAGTTCAGTAGAAAAGGATACTGATTTGCCTGAAGTCACCTCTTTGTATTTGTGTCTGGCTTTAATGCTCTGCGACTTTGCAAGCAGGGGGAAAAAAAAAAGATTAAAAAGGACAACAAAGGGAGTGAGCTCAGCTTAGCTCAGAGTGAGGTTTATTAAGAACAAGAATTTTATGGGTTTTGATTAAGTTCATAGGATGAGAATAAGTTCCATAACCTTTTGAAGATTGATAATTTGTTTCTGATCATTCAAGGCAGTCTAACAGAACTTGCTCATGTCAGTATCATCTCTACATCTAGGTCTTATATTGCTTCAAATATACAGTACCTATTGGGTATGGGTCAGACTGGGGCAAATGAAAATAATGTGTCTGTCACAAGCCATGATACCAGTATCATGATTTGGGATTTTCCCCTAGGGTTTGAAGATGACTGTTGCCCATCTCCAGCCTTTAGCTTTTCTGTTTTCTTTTCAAACATGTCCACGTGTTCTTCGTTTTTAACTGCTGTTAATCTAGTATGACCTTCTTTGGTTGCAAGATAAGCCATAATTTAACATTACTTTGCATTAGCCAAACATATCAGAATCAAACCATAGCTTGATGTTGGTTTATTTGAACAAACTATAATTTGGACATAGTAGTAAACTACCCACTTGAGAAAAGGAACACAGTAAGTGCAGCGCTTGTTCAAATGGCAGTACAAGATGGATTAATCTCACATCCAGACACAAATTAAGTATGTTGATTTGTGTTGCTCTTTACTAGTGTTACAAACTATTGTCAAGCAGCATGCTAATATTTGTGCAGGTTTCACTGTGGAAAGATCCAGAATAGAATTAATAATTTGGAAATCAGTATAACTTTTGGCTATCTAGTTTTCTATCTTAAATTTGGATTTGCTTTGTCTTGCTCTGTTGGTATTTTAATTTGGGTTTTATTGTGCTTTTATTCTTTTGATGGAATCTGCCCAAAGAATGTTTCATATTAGGTGATAAAAATGCAAGAATGAAAGTATTCTTAGGACTCTGGAAGTTGGGTAGGGAATGCAGTAACTTAAAATCTACTGGCTCAGTGAGTGCTACATGTTGCTTTTGCCTGTTGTAAATAAAGAGTTTGAAGAAGAATGTCATCACATAATACAAATTACAACGAATATATGCACTGGGGAATTGTATTTTATGGGTGGCTTGCTTTTCACTTTCAGGAGTTGAATGATCTGGGAGCAGCTGCCTTGGTTTACCTGTCTGTGACATGGGGATAATGGCACTACCCATGGGAACCTTTTTGAGTTGCTGCCTGAACAGTAGAGTATTATTAATTTTTAGATTGATTAGCTTCTGTCAGGTACATGGAAAAATTGTATGTTGTTGGCAGTGCTTTGTGCTCTAAGTCACTCTAACTCATTTACTTTCCTCCCCAGGTGCTTAAAGTGTGCAGATGCCCCCTGTCAGAAGAGCTGCCCAACTAATCTAGACATCAAGTCATTTATCACAAGTATTGCAAACAAGGTAAAAAGATAGAGGGAAAGGGAAGGAAGAAAGGAAGGAGAAATGAAAGGCAAAAGCTGCAGTTGCTGCAGTTGTTTTGTATGATTGAATTACAGCCCTTATCTTTGTGTGTAGCTTAATGAAATAATGTTTAGAGCAGCTATTACAAAATTTAGCAGACTTTTCTTAATTGCATAATTATTCTTGCTACTTTCCTTTGGAGATTTGGTATGCTAAATACATAGCTAGTATGTACATTGACTCCCAAATAATTATATATCTTTTTGTGGCTGTTGGTTTTAAGATATCTTAACTGATATTATTGTTTTGTGTGTCTGTGTCTGTGTATGTGTGTGTGTATCTATATATTGTAAATTCACTGTATAGGTCACTATAATTGCAAGTATATTTTTCTCTCTGAGAGCATTAGTGCTATAGAACCGAAATGATTTGTAGAGCGCATGCCAGAATGTGTATTGTTGAAAAAAGAGCTGAGATTTTCTTCTCCTAAATGTATTTTTAGTTCATTTAGTGTGAAAAAAATGAGTCTGAACTAAAAGTTGAAAAGGATTTTCTATAAAAAGGGTTTTTTTTTCTTCCAGGAGATTTCTTTAACAATGGGATAGTTAGTTATATATGGTAGTAAGCAGCATCAACTTCAGTTATTTTGGTAGAGTGAAACTAACAAAGAGAGTATTGAATGGCACCTAATTTCAACCTTGATTGTATGCCATACAAAACTATAAAGATTATATAGCTCTTTTCAAATTTTGATTTTTACCTTGTAAAGATTGGAGTCAGATGTTGAGAACCTATAATAACTTCTCTTCTTCTTTGAGGCAGTTGGAATTAACTAGTAGGATAAGTGTAGGAGAGATATTTTAAATTTGAGAGAGAATTCCCATTAAATCCTGGTTTTCTATCTCTTCGGATTATCTGTTAAATTATAGTTTATAGTTTTGTTAGATTTCTGATTATATTTACTTCAAGAGTTTAAAGTGGCATGTATTGTATTCCTTTCTCCATTGTTGTTCTCTGTATTATTCACAGAGCCTATGTGCTAGGCTGGACTCAGAGATAATGCCTGACTTATACTGGTAAATATCCACAGATGAGTATGGACAAGTATTGGGTCACCACAGTCCTACTTCAGCATCTAAATCATTATACATATTGGAATTCACCTGGCACTGTGGTGGACAAGAGGAGCAGATGGCAAAATATTTATGATATCATCATGTTAATCTTTTGACTTATATAGTCTCATCAGATGTTTCAATGCAAGCATGTAATAGCAACATTTGCATGATGGTATTACTGTATGCATGACATCATGTTGGTGCCATCACAGTTTGAATGGATCTAAACGTTAATTTCTTCTGACAAAATGAGGCATTCTCTAACCTTTGGATTTACTCATTACCATTAGTGAGTAAATGGGGAAAGATAATACTGTATCTAAATACTTTAAAGTTTAAAGGCTAAAGTTTGGATGAAATCAATTTTTTATTCGGTCATAGACCAGAAAATAGAACAACAGAATCACAATTAATTAGGATTTAAAAAATTAATTACTCTAAAATATCTAAGAAAAGTTAGAAGAAATACTACAGTATACTGTACAAACTATAGAACAGTACTTATGGTCAGTGAAATAAAATCAAATTAATCTTATAATGACAACTTAAGATAAACAAGTCAAAGTAACCAGGATGTTTAGTAAATAATGGAGATGATAATTCCTGGCAAGCATCTGCATAGAGGTGACAATACAAATTAACATGTTCCATCGTTCCGATTATTCCTCCATCACGTGGACACAGTCTTTGTTCAAAAGGGATATTTTGGTATCTCCCTTCAATAACAGCTGTTGGGAGGGCATTTAATCTAATCAAGGATAAGGCCCTTCTAAATTTCTAAATTGTTATGTGGCTAAGTTATCTGGCTGGTTGAAGAAGATGTGCAGAGTGGCTTAAAAAGATGTTTTTAGGTAGGATTGATAAGCCTGCTTGCAGCTCTAAATCAGTGGCCCATTGTTTGAGATGAGCTAGTGCATGTTCATACCCCATCAATGTGATGGCTGTCCATGAAAAGCCATAAAATTGCAGTTTGGCACCAGGAAGACTGAAAGCTATTGGTTATAATTGAAGGGGCCAAGCCAACTGAAAAAAGGGAGCGCTTAAGCCAATAGGAGAAAATGAAAATCCAAGCAGAAGTTTCTATTTTAAATAGGCCAGCTTTGCAGTGAAGCACCACATTCAGAAAGTTTGGATCTTGGTAGGATCGTGAAGAGAAGATATCTGTGTGGCCAATGCTGTGGTCCGGTTCTAAATTAGATCTTTCCATGGTTGTTTTTAGAACAAGGTATGGTAACTGAGGATTCAGTCACAGATCTTTCAAGCCTGGAATATAATTTGTGTCTTAAAGATCATATATTCAAGAATATTAAACCAAATCAGTTCCTCCCACTTTGGGAGGTTGGAAATGTTATTTATTTCTAAAAATATGAAATTTTAAAATCTCAATTCAATCAACTGAGAGAAGGGTAGGGACCGAGGGAATGTATCTCTATGATTTATATAATACAAGAGAGTTGTATATGCAAGGAATTCTGCTGTGGATTCACAGAGACTCAATTTTAAGACAGCACAATACATGAGACTATATAATGTATTGCCTTTACATTGGAAATGAAGAAAGTGCCTTAAATTTTAATATTAATGCTTTTTGATCTATGAGTAAATTTTTAAGAGTTTTAAACTGCTTGAAACCAAAGTCCTTGTTTTCTATCCTGGTATACAGTGCATTTTAACCCTGGAATGTAATGCATCTGGTGGAGTGGAATGTGACCCACCCAAGCTTTTGCAGTAATAATGCTGTTAGTCTTATAGGTGCACAAGATTTTCTGTTGCTGTTAGTATAATGCCATGAAAGCATTAACTAGCAGCCTTGTTCCCACACACTTTAAGGTTCCTGAGTGAGTAGCAGACTTCAGAGCTTGGACCAGTGCATTGAGATCAGAGAAAAGCAGTGTCATGTATGGGGCACGATGTACGATTGTGCTTCCCCTGTATGCATTAGATGTCCACGTGCTAAGAGATACCCCTGGCTTTTAAAAGCAAACATGTATGTGGGAGAGGAGTGAAGGATGAGAAATTACAGTGCTCAGATTCCCCCTGCATGTTAGTTGCTTTATCATTTCTTCCTAAACAGGGTCTCCCACTAAATAAGAGGCAGTACAACTCTCAGGTATTCATTTAAGCAGCTTTCATTATAACAGACTTCTTTTTTTTTTTTGCCAGAATATAGCAAATGCATTCTTTTGTCAGGTGTTTAAGAGCTTTATTGTATGGAGTGTGTTTTGCTGGAAAACTACTGTAGCAATCATAAAAGGTCAGGGATTCTTGTTCTCTAAAGCCTGAGGCGTTTCAGATATTTGCAGGGTTTGCACAATGTAGTCTCTTCTACACCACATTTCCTGTAGATTTCAACTTGGCAAGAAAGGGGAGAATACTTTTCTAAGTGGAGAGGGTAATTGAATTGCCAGGCTCAGTGATTCATGCCTTGAAATTCTTTGAGAAAAAGATGCCACTCTATTGTAAATTAGTGGCATTCTATAGAGTCTAGGCCAAAACTTACTTTCATTCCTTTTCATAAAAGAGGATTACATCTCTGCTTCCTAAAGGTTGAAGACTCCACTGGTGTGTCTTTCTAGGGGGGCCTGCATAGTCAAGTTCACACAGGTGAACTGCGTTTCAACAGATGAAACATACCTTTAGATGCCTCATCCTGTGCATAGTGCTTTGGGGCAGTGGGCAAGCAACAGAGAGGAGAAAGACAACAAACATAGAGTTTGCCCCAGTACAAATAATTTGCTACTAAAGATCAGATGTGTATAAAAGATTTTTCTGAGAAGCTTGAAGGTATCATAATTTATTCATGCTTTTACCAAAGACAAATCTTGTTAAAAAGCAAATGTTTGCTCTGTTGTAAAAGAAGGAGAAACACATTAAAGAATGCATGCCATTTTCTTGTTTATTTCTCATTTGTATTAATAGGACTTACCCTTAACATGCCAGAGGCCAATATCATCATATCTAAGGCTGCATCGATCCAGATATTCAGTTGCCATTGATGTCTTGAAAAAACAACAACAACCTGGTTCTTAAGTTGCCGAAATGAATAGGAAACCATGTACTTCTGTTGGGGGGGGAGAACGTTATTCCATTTTCTTTTGGTTTCATCTTCCAAATTTATTGTTATTTTCTCCTTCCTTCCTTCCTTTCTTTCTTTCTTTCTTTCTTTCTTTCTTTCTTTCTTTCTTTCTTTCTTTCTTTCTTTCTTTCTTT